GCCTGTCAACTGGCATTGAGGTACGAACAGTTGCCATGCCTTTACAAAAAAATAAAAACAGGCTAAATAAGCATATATTAATTTAATAATATTTAAACTTATTATTTTAAACTATTTTATTTGGTTTGGTTTGAATTTGTCTACACATGCTGCGCGCTATTTGTTTGCGGTTTCCTCAGCCTTTGCTGTTCTTCAAATTAAACCCTCTTTTGTCCACCTTTGTCCCTCGATCCCTTTATGGCACTTCTAATAAAGGATATAATCTTTTAAAATTTTTTGAATTACCAAAGTTCTCTGGAGAGATCTCAGTCCATGCAGGGCGTCCCTGGCGCAAAGATGAACTTCGGCTCAAATCCAGTCAGGAGCTCCACAAACTCTGGTATATTCTCCTTCGTGAGCTTAATATGTTAATGACAATGGACACTGAACATGAAAGGCGAGTTGAAAGGATGCCAAGTGGCGAGCGTCTTGAAAAAGTAAATACTTTACTTGTTATAAAGCTTGATCATCCGTTAACTAAGTTCCCGTTATTTTCAAGGTGGTTGTGCACTTTTCATCTCTTCAAATTCCCTTATACGTTATTGTATGCAAGTTTTTTTAAAAATATTTTACACTTAGACGCTCTGATATATCCCATCTTTTACGGCTCCGAGTATTTAAGCTGCTCATGGGCCTTCATTGATTCCTTTCATATTTGATCCTCTCAAATTATTTAAAATATACTAGATGGTAAAGGATCTATCTCTTTAACCAAGTTTAGAGTCTTTTAGGTGTGTGAGTTCGTGCCATAATAAATGATGGTGATAATTTGATTTGCTAAGTCATTTATTTTCAATTCCAAGCCTGTATTGTTAGTTATATTTTATATCATTTAAATTTGGCTCCTTTTTCAAGCATTATTTGTTTTATGGCCTTATTTATCAGGCCTTAGTCGGCATTTTGTGCGAGCAATGCTTCTGTGTCACTGATATATTGTACCATTACCATTTAGCTGTTACGGAAACTCCTTGAGCTTAACCTATCTCTAGCTTACTATATAAAATGGCTCAATGGCATGTTATCTCTTGCTCGATGAATGTGTGACCTCATTCCTATCTTCGAATGGGATTCATTAATACTGTTCTTAATTTCGGTAGTCCATTTATACACTTGTTTATTTTAAATCTCGAGGCTTTTCAAAATCAAAACCCCTTTCATTCTTTCATGGCTTAAATCTAATGTATATTTACCACCTCGTTTTATTTTCAGGTTGAAGAGAGCATGGAGAATTTGTTGGATGTCGTAGGAGAACGAAACAAGTCTATCCATGAACTTGAGCATGGATCCTGGGAGGGTCCTAGAATATTTCATAGAATTGACGCTTTAGGTCGCGAATCAACTAGCTTATCAGAGGAACATTCATATTTGGAGTCTGTATCATCTAAAGACTATTCCTTATGCAATGATAAAATGTTTGGCGACTGGACTCTAGATTTCATCAAGTTGGAGCATGCAAATAATGTATTGAAGAAACGAAGTAAATTCAGAACCCATAAATTTTTACGCCGCTTGCAAAAGTTTCAACGTACCAATTATATTGCTCACGGATTATGGCATCATCGAAGATCTATCCCATAATAGTTCATGCTACTACCTCTTACTTTGAATTGCAGCCCAATTGCAATGATTCTGTCATATTGTTCCTCCTTGGGCCCTATATATGTTTAAATAAGTTTTTTAAAGCGTATGGTTCGTGTCTGAAGTTATTTTTTTTGAGGTCCTTGTGATGAAGATTCGGTTTTCTTGCCAGATAATAGCCTTTAGTGATTTTTATATTATAGACATCGGCTATTCGGTTCTAACATCTACATAATAGAGTTTTTAGCGAATGGACCTTAACTAAGCCCTATGCTTTGATTCAAGTAATTAATAATGCTGGGATTTACTAGCTTTTTCTTCTAGGGATTTGGCTACATATTGAACCTAACCTCATCATGCAATTCTATAAGGGCTTTGAGATACGTAAAAAAAATTATTTTTGAAGAATCCCTTAATATATTCATGTTGGGGTACCTTTCATTTCGTTTGAAAAGAATTATGATAGGGATTTCGTAAGTTGATGATTTCCGAAACCCAGTTTCTCTGAAGATGTAGGAGTGTTGCCTTGAAGCTGTGATTGTACATTTGCGCCAAGCCCTTTTAAGCGCGCCGCCATGTGACCTCGGTAAATCCTTGCTGAGCTTAGGACCGTCATGTGACGGACATCATCAGAGCATAACACCATACTTTACGATAATTCACCAAACACAAAGTCAAAAAGGGTGGTCAGTTGCAATCGTACCTACTTTTTATAGCCTAGCTATGTCCACCTTGTGAGATCCCGTGATTTGGCTGGATATATGATACTTTTCCTACATACTATTGGACAGTGATTTGGTTGCATATGACACGTTAAAAAGTATGCATTCATGACCGAGTAAGTGCATTCTGTAAGTATTTGGTGCAGAGATTCGAAGGTCGATCCCACTAGAAGACGAAGGTGGATGTATCTTGACTAGCTGTCGATTGGTTTGCTACAACATTCTTGTTAACGCTGTTACTGAGTTAATCTACTTCGATTCTGGTGAAAATGTGCTAAGCTTTCGTCTATCATATGACGAACATCCTTACAACCAAATTCAAACTTACGAATCAATCAAACTCACCGGTTCATTCCTCAAAAGCTGTATATATACTTTATGTCTGACCTCATTGACGAGGTATAAAGTGATTTGGTTAGTTCCAGTCATATGCCAGCCTCGAAGCAGGTGGTGAGTGTGTCTATCTCTGTATGTATATGTGCCTGTCAATGCTCGCATATGTACGAAACCAGCAGTGATGGCTCAAAGTAATTTGGACAGTAAAAGTAACGTCTGTTCTTAGCCATCAAGGTTTGATGTCCACCATCACCCCTACTCTATAAATATTTAAGCCATCACTACAATTGCAGATGGTAGGACACACGTGTGATTATGTTGATGAGTGTTTTATGTCTTTATGTGAGAGAGAAAGAGTGAGCTAGGACTATAGAGAAGTGACAATACTTAAAACCAAGACAAGAAAAGACTAGTTAAGTCGCCTCCTTTTTGCAAGCGGCTCAACGCTCTTTCTATAATTGAGTCTATTAATTACGAATATGCGGGTTTTACTTACCTTTTTGCTGGCATTCCTTACATTCGATGTATTCCCTATTCGATTTATTTCGATGGCTTCTTTACTTTTACGTTTAGCCGCATACATGCCATAATAAAAAAAGCAAGAGGTTTGAGACCATTTAATCTCGCGTCCAGTTTCTTCCCTGTGCTCAGCCGGCTCTGATTTTTTAACCCAACAGCCTCTGCAGGCACTTTTGTGCATAGTCACCCTTTATCGAATGGGATGACAAGTCTTACTAGTTCGTCTATCCTAGACGGGATGCACGATGACGAAGACAAGACATGGCAAATGTTCTATTTATCTCTACTTACGTATTCACCATTCAAAAGCCTAATTTTTTTTAATCTAATGTTATTTTCACTTAAACATATGGGATAATTATTCTCAAGTAATATTAGTTTGAGCCTATCCAATTCATTATAACAATGGGCTTTGTCGGCTAGTCTTATGCTCGGGATAATCATGCATTTTAAAACTCCAACCTTTGTTTTATGACTATGATTGGAAAAGAAGTTAAAGATAAAGTCAAGATGCGTTAGCTTGCTTTATACATCCATGCTTAATTTATCACCAGCTCTGATCACTAATACATCTAAAAAGGGTAAATTATTTGAACGTATAAAGACCAAGATGGGGTGGCTTTTTGTGTGGTCGCAGGGTAAATTACTGTTCATCTCTATTGTCAACTTAACACTGCAGCCAATCTGGTTAATTAAAAACAAGAAACTATCTAAACTATGGTATAATCGAAGATACGAAAACCAACATAGTGTGGCCTTTTGTGTGGTCTTAGCATCCTTTCGTTATATAAAGGTTGTTTGACCTTGTTTTCGCAACTTGGTCATATTGGTAGTAAAATTTATAGGAACCAACCTAGTCCGGAGGCAATTGTATGTATGATAATTTCCAAAGTCATACATTGGACGTGGTACATTTCCAGACGTTTCACCTGTCTCTCACGAGTTTTAGTATGGTGCTAAGAATGGCAAGACTCACTGACGATGCCGGCGAAACGTCTGGGAATGTACCACGTCCACA